CAATCTGATTTCATTTCACTACTACTATTATTCTAGTATCTACCCTTTGCACAATCTCCAATTCAGAGCAGCAGAATTCCGGAATCCGAGTTCTGCCGGCTCAGGCTCAAGCTGTTGGCCCTGTGTCCCTTCGATGCTGCTGACCACCCCGCCCCGGGCCCATCTCCGACCCCCACTCCCGACCATCCCCACCCACAACCACCACACCCACACCACACATGTTCACTACTCCTGCAATCATAATTATCCACTTCCTGTCTGCCGATACGCACATCAGCCGACGCCAACCCGTCAACAGCATCACTGCCGACCGCCGGCTGCTCGCCGCCGACCGCCGCCCGCCGCCGACCGACCACCGCCGGCACCACCGAGATCAAGCTAGCCATCGACAGGGCATTGGAGACGATGCATACGGATAGCCACATCAATGGCAATGGCTACCAGGCTGCTCTTCAACCCAATCCTCCCCTCCGTCCTCCGGCCTTGCCCATCACAGCCCCCGCCGGCCTGCTCATCGCCAGCCGCTCCTGCCGCCGATCACCGGGCCAGACGACGAGACCACCGGGCTGGCCAAGACAAGGAAGAACAAGAGAGGGCAAGTGCGAGCGTTAGGCAATGCAGTGGTGGGCTAGAGTGCAGCGGTCTGCCTCCTTCTCCAATCCCAAGCCATCGTCTTCATCAACGTCCATCTCAATCCAATCCCGTCCGTCCTCCTCGCCCCTGCCGCCCAAGCCCCTCCACCCTCATTGCCCACACTCCACACCCACCCATCATCCTCATCTTACCCATCCACATCAATCCTCGACCGTAATCTCCATACCCACCACCTCTTCGCCAGTCCCGCCATCCACGTCACGACCCCACTCATCCCCCCTACCATACTCATTACGCCCCATCAACATCAACCACCACTCCCACCGCATACTCCACCACCATCGCTATCATCCTAGCCACAACCACCACCACCTTGCCTTGGCCATCCTCACCACCACCCCATCGCGCGCTCGGCTTCCTCTTCCTCCTCATCGTCGTCCTCTCGCCGCCCCAGCTCACCCGCATCCTCATCCCCGACTCCGACACCGGCATCCGTCAACCATCACAAGTCATACTGCCCAATCTCCAACCAACAGCAATCTCAAGCCACCCCGCTCCGACCCACCCCCTCAGCTGCCCCTGCCTTGCCGACCACCAGCCGCCAGCCGCCGCCCGCTCGCCCGATCAGCCCACCTTCACCACCACCCAGCTCCTTCTCACTACCAGCTACGCTACCCCTAACCTCATCCAATGTCATCACACACCCCACACTATTACCAGTACCAATATCGCCATTATCCATACCCATCTTGCTCGGCTCACTTTCGCATGGACTTGTTTGCCCTAGGTGGTTGAGCACGTCCTCGACCGCCCGACCCCGCACATGCCCCCCACCAATCTCATTGCAAGATATGCCCAATCTGATTTCACTACTACCCTACTACATGCGCATACTATCCCCTTGCATAGTCTCCAATCCACAGCTGCTGTATTCCGGAATCCGAGTTCCGCAGGCTCAGGCCCAAGTTGTTGGCCCTGTGTCCCTTCGATGCTGCTCACCCCTGCCGCGGGCCCATCTCCGACCCCCACCCCCCAACCTGTCCACCCACAACCACCACACCCACAACACACATATTCACCACCCCTGCAAACATAGCCACCCGCTTCCTGCCCGCCGATACGCACATCAGCCGACACCATCCCGTCAACAGCATCACTGCCGACCGCCTGCTGCTCGCCGCCGACCGCCGCCCGCCGCCGACCGACCACCGCCGGCACCACCGAGAGCAGGCTAGCCATCGATAGGGTATTGGAGACTATGCATGTGGATAGCCAGATCAATGGCAATGCCTACCAGGCTGCTCTTCAACCCAATCCTTCCCCTCCGTCCTCCGGCCTTGCCCATCACAGTCCCCGCCGGCCTGCTCATCGCCCGCCGCTGCTGCTACCGATCACTGAACCAGACGACGAGGCCTGTGGGCTGGCCAAGACAAGGAAGAACAAGAGAGGACAAGAGTGAGCGATAGGCAATGCAGTGGCGGGCTAGCGTTGAGTGGTCTGCCTCGTCTTCCAATACCAAGCCATCGTCTCCATCGACGTCCATCTCAATCCAATCCATCCCGCCCTTCTCTCCCTCGACGCCCA